CCGGATCTCATTTGCATTTTTCTCCCTTTGATTATGAGCAATTGTGGACTCCCCAGCAATTCATCAAAGTAGAAATTATTTTAAAATACCTCGTGGTGTTCAGACTGGGCTGGAGCAATGCATGGGAGTGGGGGGCAGTGATAGAAGAAGAGAAGGCTAGAAATTTTCCATTCATGCTTTAAACATCTCAGCCCTGCAGCCTTTTTTGGGTATCCAGCCAAGGGATGAAATCTGGAAAAGACAGTCAGATCCCAAGACCTGTAGGTGCTTTGATTAAACGCCTAGGCTCCCACAGCAGGATGCATGTGGTCTCAGAGACTGCCACCCTCCTTACACTTCTGCCTGCTTTTTTGTTTTGAAGGGCAGAGAGTTGATTCCACTCACCCCAGTTCTCACCGCTGTGGTGAGACTACTACATCTGTGGTCGGCAGGGTCAGTGCTCCCCTGGAGCAAGGGCGCGCTGACGGGGAGCCCAGCCTTTGCAGGCGTCCTGCTGGGCCTCATCTGCCTCCTGTTTGTGCCCTGTTCGAGTTGGCAGGCAGCACCTTCCAAGGCTCAGGCTCTACTCCGGGCATTACAGCTAAAGGAGGATGCTACCAAGCGTGAGTCAGACCCAGAAGTCTTGAATGGTCCCTGGGGAGAGAATGCCCACCCTGAGCCCCTCAGGTGATGAAGGTGGCAGCATCCGACAGGTAGAAGACCACACCTCACACCTGTGTAAGCAAGCTGACTGGTCAAATGACTGTCAGACAACATGGTGCCCACTATCTCCAGTGAGATAGCAGAAAAGCTAAAGCTAGAATTTCTAGGACAGCGCATCATGTGTTACCCTCCACACAACAGGACCCTGGTCAACATGGCCATTGCAGCAACATGCTACTATGAGGCAACACTGTAAGAAAACTTAAGGCAGAAACTGCTGTAACTTCAGTGCTGGGAAATAGCAACATAACTTGTATCAAGAGGAGCTTAAAAATCTCCTAACATAGGAGTTCCCTGGTAGTCCAGTGGTTAGTACTCCAACTTTCACTGCTGTGTCCTGGGTTCAATCCCTGGTTGGTGACTAAGATCCTACAAGCCTTATGGTGTGGCCAAAAAATAATAATTTTAAAACTAGAACATCCTGACACGAATAGGCTGAGGAATTCTGGGTAATTTCCCATACGGCAATGCGGGCTGTAGGGGGAAGCTGGCCTCCCTCCTGGGGGAGGGGCAATGAGAAGCAGTGGAGACAGTGACAGAGGGAGGCAGACACATTCATTTATTTAAGACGGATTTTTACATGCTAATTACCTGTTCCTTTTAGGATCAGCTCAGTAGTCTCACTTCTTACAACATCTTCATGGTATTTAGGGAGCCTTTTGGGAAACTATCTCTAAAGACAGTTGCTCTCTTTCTGCCACAGTCACCAGGGAGTATCTTGGAGTTGGTTGTAACTAAATCTGCTCAACTGAGAGTGTAAATTCCCACTGCCCCCCACTTCATTTCTTCATAATCTCATTTTTTTTTTTTTTTGGCTAGGAGGCAGGTAGGATCTTAGTTCTCCAATCAGGGATCAAACCTGTGCCCTCTGCTTTGGGAGCAAGGAATTTTAACCACCAGGGAAGTCCCTTCATAGCCTCATTTAACAAGGTTTTGGGGGGCCCCATTCTGTGCCAGGCACCATGCTGAGTGTGGGAATACAAGAGCAAACAAACCATCAAGGTCTCTGCTCCCACAGAACTTTCCACCTGGTGACTGGCACTGAGACAAAGGCCGGCAGATCCAGGGCAGCGTGCTGAATCCTTTTCCGGAGAGGCAGAGCACAGCGCGGCCCCCACTCAGTCAGAGTGGTAGCAAGGGGTTTCTGGAGAGGCCAGAGAGAGTTAGGAGCTGGAATCTGAAGGCTGCTTAGGAGTGAGCCCCCTGGAAGGGGGGGGGGGGGGGGGAAGTGGAGGCTAAACAGGCAAAGGAAAGACTTCACAGTGAGAGCCTGAGGCCCAAGGGAGAAGCAGAAACAAATTCTGTTTTACTAAGAGTTCACTAGATTTAGGGGATAAATGACAATGAGTGGGACTAGTTCATGCAAGGTCTTGTCCATCTTTTTAAGAAGTTGACAATAGGCAGTAGGAACCCAAAGGTTTTAGGCAAAGCAGTGATATTATCAATGTGCTTTTTAGAAAGATTCTAGTTACAGAATGAAGAGTAGATTGGAGAATAAGAATGGAGATACAAAAAAAAAAAAGAATGGAGATACAGAAACCAATTTGGATATTGCTTCTGTAGTCTTCAGGAGAGGGAACAGTGACATGACTCTAAGCCGTTGCCAATGGGAATAGAGAGAAGTGGATGGAGTCCAGTAATATTTTGGAAAGAGAATTGACAGAACTTGAGGACTGATTGGTAGAGGGTGAAATTGGGAATGACTCTTGGGTTTCTGGCTTGAGTAATTGAGTGCATAACGGTACCACTCACTGAGACAGAGAACACAGGTGGTAAAGAAACTTTGGAAATGGAAACAGAGGAAGAGGCAACATGATGGTTAAATTTAGGACAGAGTGAGTTTGAGAAGCTTGAGGAATATGCACTCGGGTTTTGGGCTCCAACCCTTAGATCCTGGCTGGAGCTATTGCTGTGTCATTTACACAGGAGGTGTGTAAGACTGCTCAAGGAAAGCACATCAGATTGGAAGAAGGCCAGGACAAAACCCTGGAAAATCACATGAAAAGGAGGGATAAAGGAAGATGAGAATGAAAAGAAGCAATCAGAGAGATAGAAGGGAAACCAGGAGAGTACAATTATAGAAATTAAGAGAAGAAAATACCTCAAGAAACATCCATAGTGCCAGGACTGCTAGAGATCAAGTTAAGAATTGAAAAATACCCACAGAATTTGAGCAATAAGGAGGCTATAGGAAGCGTTAAGTGGAGCGATGAAGGCAGAAGCATTTACATTACAGTGGCTCAAAGGGTGAATAGAAAGCAAGAAGTTGGGGCAGTAAATGAAATAAATTCTTTCAATAAATTTGACTGTGAATTGGCAGTTTGCATTGATAGGCTAGTCTAAATAGGAAGTAGACATGTGGTGGTGTTTTAGTCGCTAAGTTGTATCCAACTCTTTTACAACCCGGTGGACTGTAGCCCGCCAAGCTCCTCTGTCCATGGCATTTCCCAGGCATTGGAGTGGGTTGCCATTTCCTTCTCCAAGGCATCTTCCCGACCCAGGCATCAAACTCACATCTCCTGCATTGGCAGGCGGATACTTTACCACTGAGCCACCACGGAAGTCGGACATGTGGTAGGAACTATTTAATAATTGTTTTCAAAGACAAAAGAAACCTGAATACACTTCAGTGCTGATGGACGGGGCCATTTACATTAGAGGCAGACGTCAGACTTCTCAGAACCTGGTCTCTAAGAAACAAAGCAGAGAGTTACAAGTGCATAACCAGGGGTGGGACGCTTCCTCCACTTTAATTGAAAAGAAGAGTGATTGTCAATACAGGTAAGTTCCTGTTTTGGTGGCTGAAGTTTGACGGATCTGATAGCTTCTCTTTTCTCTTTCAAGGTAGAAAAGAGGTCAGCTGCTGAGAGGGGAGAAGCAGAGTTGGAAGAGGGGAGATCCACTAAAAGAAAAAGATAATCAGTTGACCCAGAATTTTATTGTGTCAAAAACTCGGTTTTCTTTCTTTTTTCCCTAGATCTCAGCAGTCAGCTGTGCAAAAGATAGATCCAGTTGAAGTGGAATACCTGTACTTCCCATGTAGTCCTAAATATCTTACTTCAAAAGGAAAGCATGTCCTAGTGCTTACAGGAGTAGTTCTGGAATGCCCCCTCATCCGCTGTGCTTTTGAGAAGCTCTTCTGTACTCCAGGGGCTCTGTTCTCAACCCTGCACTGCCCTTCTTTTAAACCCTCTCAATCCTCTTCTTGTTTGCCCTCTTCCCTGCCTATCATGTCCTGCCTGTTATTATTGATGTGCCTGACAACCTCCCACCTATTCCAGGGGAGGCATCTAATGTTTAGAGCATCTACTATGTATCAGACACTGAATTATTTTCACTTCGGCGGCATCACTTATGTCTCCCACCACAGAGGGGAGGTGTGATGTTATCCCAACTCTTAGAGAAGAGGAAGTTAAAGTCAGGAGACCCTCCGGTCACATGGCTACTAAATGACCAAGTAGGGACGAGATCCCAGTCTGTCTGACTCCAAAGCCCATTACTCTATGCTGTGAACTCCCAGGGAGCAGGCAGTGTTCTGACTCTCATCCATCTCATGGGAACTCAAACAGCACTTTGCACATGGAAGAAGCTTGGGAAGTATTATTGATTTGAACTATGACCTGACTCCCTGCATACTTCAGTGCTCTGGCATTTTTGGGTGTGCCCGGCTTTCCCCAAAGAAGCTGTTCCACTCTGCTTGGTAAAAGACATGCTCTTTAGGTTCAGCCTTGGCACCAAATGTGCTAAATGTACAATGTAGACAGAAAGATGGTGAAAGGAAAGTAGAGTTTGCTTCTTCTAGATTACTTTTTAAATAATTTCTATTGATTTACTTTAGTTTTGGCTGTGCTGGGTCTTTGCTGCTGTGAAGGTTTTTCTCTAGTTGCGGGGAGCAGGGGCTCCTGTGCAGTTGCAGTGTGCAACGAGACAGGCTCTAGGGTACATGGGCTTCAGTAATTGTGGCAATGTGGACTCAGTAGTTGGGGCTCCCAGGCTCCAGAGCACAGGCCCAATAACTGTGGCACTCGGGCTTAGTTGCTCTGAAGCGTGTGGGATCTTCCCAGATCAGGGATCAAACCTGTGTCTCCTGCTTTGGCAGGCAGATTCTTTACCACTGAGCCACCAGGCAAGCCCTAGATAACTTTTAGTAATCCCATCAGGAGTGTTAATAAGTTGTACTGATAGTGTCAACAAAGAAACTACCCAACAGACTCTCCATGTGACCATTAACAGATTACATAAGATTAACAGAAGCATAACTACATTCCAACCAAAACCGTCCTCTTTTCATTTTTCAGGAATATAGTATGTATGGCTGGTGGGTCGGAGAACTGAACAGCCTCATTGGGATTGTTCCAAAGGAGTATCTCACCACTGCCTTTGAAGTGGAAGAAAGATGAAGCCCAGGTATCAGAACCATGCCAATAGATTTGTTGGCCATGCCTTCATTTCTCTGTGAAGGATGAGAGTTGCCAGTGAAGTAACTTCTTAATTTTCAAAAGTGGTGACGGTAATTTACCATTGAGAGAAGCTAAGTCTGTAATTGTTTCTCCCAAACTGGGGGACTATGTCAGTCAGGGTTAGATTCAGTTACATGTGACAAAAAACTCAAAATAACAGTGATTTAATTAACACAGAAATTTATTTTTCTCTTCCGTAAGAATCTGGAGGTAAGCAATCCAAGGTGTTCAGGTCCCAGGTACCTTTTTGCCACACTGCATGTGGTCAACATTGCCATGGTCACCTCATGGCCCAACATGGATGCTCCAGTTCACAACTATCATGACAGTATCCTACCCAACAGGAAAGATAGAAAGAAAGGAGACATGCACATCCCTCCTAAGGACACTTCACAGATGTTGCACACACCACTTCTGCTTATATCCCATTGCTCAGAACTCGGATATACAGACATACCAAGCTACAGAGAAAGTTTCTTCTAGGTAGAACCTGTATCCAGCTTAAAAGCGGAGTGGTAGGGAGGCATTAGTAAATTTAAAGGAGAGAATAAATATTGGAGAGCAATTAGGAATGTTTGCCACAAGGATGGATCTGGGTTTCTTTATCCACAGCTCTCAAATCCAGGGCAACCTTTCCCCCAAATGCCCATGTATCGCAATACGACTGACAAAGATTAGGAATCCAGTATAAGGATTCCTGTGGAGCATAATAAAGAATACGGGCTTCCCTGATGGTTCTGCAGTAAAGAATCCACCCGCCAATGCAGGAGACACAGGTTCAATCCCTCAGTTGGAAGGATCCCGTGGAGAAGGAAATCGCAACCCACTCCAGTACTCTTGCCTGGGAAATCGCGTGGAGAGAGGAGCCATAGAACGTGGGGCTGCAAAGAGGCAGACATGACTTAGCAACCAAACAAAAAGACTGTGGGTTGCATTTTATGAGCAAGAACCACATTATTCCACATTAAGCAGCAGAGTGAGTGTCTGCTTCGGGTGGGATAACAACATGATTAGAATTAGGATGGTGGTGGAGGACACCAAAGGCTAGCATGATGTCACTAGCTCCATCTTCCAATCTGAAACAGGAGCTGCCTTTATTGATGGGGGTGAGGGGTGACACATGTGACAGTGACACAGATGGGCCTTGGGATCTTTCAGACCAGGGCCCACTCTAGTGTGCAGCAGCAGTGTCCTAACTGTTCATTTAGGACATTACATAAGGAGAGATCTTACTCTCTAATGCCCTTGTACAAACATGAGGCACCAGCCCGGGGCTCTCACTCGAAGTCTGACTTTATGACTTTCCCAGTGAGGACTCCATTTCTAGGCCCTGAATGCAGAAGAGTTGGAATTTCTCTTCAAATCTAAATAAATTCTCCCTACTTCACTCTGTCATTTATTTAATGACAAACTTGTTTCTCCGCATTCTCTTTGACCCAACAATTCTACATCTAGGGGTTTATCCTACAGGTACACTTGCACACAGGCAAAATAATATACATACAAGGTTACCTGTAATAGCAAACCACTGGAAATGACTTAAAGGTTCAATAGAGACCTCCCCAAGGAACTGTAGTAATTCATAAAATTGAATACTATGCAACAGTAAGGAAAAAAGAAAGCGCTCCACACCTATGGAATACATTCTGAGATATGTAGGTAAGTAAAAAAAAAAAAAAGTAGGAGTAAAGGGTAGGTCGAATTTGCTCCATCTGTGTAAAAAAGGGAGTCTCATTGCTTCTATATGTATGAGATTATATGAGATATCACTGGAAGGAGAAAGATGATGATAACACTGTTTGCCTCCAACAACAGAGAAACTACATGGCTGTGAGACAGGGTAGGAGGGAGACACTTTTTACTCTACACCCTTTTATATCTTCTACATTTCGAATCATAAAAGCAGATTTATGTGTGTTTCCCCCTTTAGGATACACATCCTTCTCTCTACCCTGCCTTTATGAAGAAACGAAGAGCCCACTCCCTACCCCTGCCAGCCCACCACCACCACCAACTCTTCTCTTTAAAGACCCCAGTCCCTGACACCCCTGCACAGTACATGTAACCCACCGTAAGACAAGTGAGCAGAGGCCTCTTCAGACGACCTGTTACTAAACCTGCACAGCTGACCGCATGCTAAACATGTCCACACACCCACCTCTGCCTTTTCCGCAGGCTTGTCTCAGAGAAGGTGAGAGAGAAGGAAGCCTTTGGAGGAAGAAATTGCTGGTTGCTTTGGCTGGTTTCAAAAGCACAAATAAACTGATTTGGTTCTTTGCCCTGTGATAGAGTTGTGTTTCTTTTTGTAAACTGGTATCAAAATGCTGGCTCTGGGCATTCTTATCATCTCCAAACAACATGGGAAGGGACAGCCCTAGAGAAAACGAAAGCCCACCTACTTGGTTATTTTTATCTTTTGTGCTCACTCTGTCTGAAATGAGACAGGGCCAGAAGCAAGTCCTTGGAGTCAGCACGTTGGAGAGCTCCTTCTGGGGCCTCAGTTACCAGCCCCACTGTGTCCTGCAGGCTGAGGAAGTGCTGTGGGAAGGCTTGTGTCTACACAGCACTGTTTCCTTTCCCTCTTTCCTGGGCCTAGCACTCGGGGTGTCTGTGCCTTGAAGAGGCAGCAAAACACAATGGTTAAGAACATAACTTCGAGGGTTTCCCTGGTGGTCTAGTGGATGGGCATCCACTCTGCAGTGCTGGGGACACCGGTTCGATCCCTGGTCCCAGAAGATTCCACTTGCCTCAGAGCAACTAAGCCTATATGCCACAACTACTGAGCCTGCACTCTAGAGCTTTCGAGCTGCAACTGCTAAAGCCAGTGCACAGCAAAGAAGGCCCAGGACAACCAATAAGTAAATAATAATTTTTAAAATTTTTGTTTAAAAGAAAAGAACATAACTTTGATGGAATTCCCTAGCAGTCCAGTGGATAGGACTCAGCACTTTCATTGCCAGCCCAGGTTCAATCCCTGGTTTCCCGATCTTGGGAACTAGGATCCCTCAAGCCATGTGGGGTGGCCAAAAAAAAAAAAGAAACTCTGGGATGAGTCAGCCTGGAAACAAATTCCTCACCTTAGAAGGGGTATACTCCATCTCACCGGGTCATTAAGAGATTAAAGGAGTGAATAAATGTAACATACCTGGGACACCATCTGGCACATAGTAACTGCTCAATAAAGTTTAGTTATTATTAATGCCTGACCCTCTACACAAGAAATATTGAGAGATGGGCAACTGAGCAGCTAAGGAAATTTCACCTTCAAAGCTGCTCCTATTCAGAACTGTCCTGGATTGGCAGTGTCCTTCCTCACGCCCATCTCATAGCCCTGCAATAAGGTACCATTTCATGTCACCTAAGAGAGAAACTGGGAACAAACAGGGATGTTGTTAGTGGATTCCAGGTTTCTGAAAAGGTCCTATGCCAGCTATTCATTTCCAGATTTTTCTGACCTAGGAGTAAAACAAAAGGAAGCTTTGTGTATGTGTGATGGATAAAGATATAAGAAAAGAGGACAATTTAGGTCTGGGAGAGGAAAAAATAGAGACAGAGATAAAAGGCACTAGAGAACTGTCCATGACATCCCCTCAACTTTACACAGGGTGCCAAAGGAGAAGCAACCGCTAGGTGGCAGCAGATGTGCAGATGAATCAAAGGGAACCAATTGCCTTCCGTTTTAGGAACAGTTGCACCAATCCTAACCTACAGGTAAAGACAATGGGCATTGTTCTAAAGTGGTTAACAGAAGGAGCAAACAGAAACCCCTCTGTGCCCAGTTGCTTCCTCTGTAGAGAATCCTCAGAGTCCCAAGTCTGCAAGGCTGAGTGGCTAAAAGAAGAGAATACCATTGTACTACCACTGTTCCATGATGAAAGACAGAAAAGGAGAAACCAGAAGAGGAACAGGAGGTACCCGGGGCAGCGTCGGAAGAGGTATGAAAAAGGAGCAAGGTCAGGTGCTTCACTCAGCATAGCTGGACACTCAGTGGCATGACCTTTAAAACAAAGCCCCCCCCCCCAAAAAAAAAAACAAAGCCCCCTTGCTGCAATAGTCCTTTCTGTACCTGCAGACCTGAGGAAATCATCTGCCAAACTACAAGGGCCTTTTGGCACCTCCATCTACTGCCCCACACTCACATCCTAGCTGTAAATGAGGAAAAAGAAAGTAGACTGGCCCTAAAAGAGAGAAACAAATGGACTAATTGAGAATCTGGTCCATAGCCAGCTGGCCGTTTCTGACCTTGTTACATGCTGGAAAAGAAACAGCAAGTTCAAGACCATCTTCAAACAAAGGGCATTCTCTGTCACGGAGAAAGCAGTGGATTCCTACAGTCTGCCTGAAGCTAAACCTCATCTAGCAGATCTGCTCAATTCCACAGCCACCATTTAGCCAACAGTCTCAGAAAGCAACTGGTTAATCAGATTACTGCTTCTCTGTTTGACTCCACTAACCAAATCCCCACCTTACTGCCTGTGACTAACTGGATAACTGGGGCATTAGAACACTTAACTAACCACATTATATGTAGGATGGCTTCTGAACAGCCACTAACTGCACTAGCACGTGAAACTCAAGAGGGAAGAGGCACAAGGGGGGACACCTTTTTCCTCCCTTGATTTTTTTTTTTTCATTTATTTTTATTAGTTGGAGGCTAATTACTTTACATCATTGTAGTGGTTTTTGTCATACATTGAAATGAATTAGCCATGGATTTACATGTATTCCCCATCCCGGTCCCCCCTCCCACCTCCCTCTCCACCCAATCCCTCTGGGTCTTCCCAGTGCACCAGGCCCGAGCACTTGTCTCATGCACCCAACCTGGGCTGGTGATCTGTTTCACCCTAGATAATATACGTGTTTCGATGCTGTTCTCTTGAAACATCCCACCCTCGCCTTCTCCCAGAGTCCACAAGTCTGTTCTATACTCCTCCCTTGAT